CTGTATCTGGTGCAACGATACAATACTCTGGAGGATCAGTCTCTATGACTTTGAATTCTACACTTCTCATGCCACCCCTGACTAGGAAAAGGTCTCCTTTCCTCAAAGGACGATAGGCTTCAAGGAAGTATGCTGAAAAGTTGAAGATAAAGTATTTAGCAAAAAGAAAATGAAACTGACTACAGAAGAAGAAAAGAAAACACATTAAAGCAGACTAGCAAAACGAATTGTAGGTTGCCCAGTAGTCTATCATCTACAGATGGTTAGATATCTATCAAGGTATCGCATACTCCATTTACCAACGATGCAATAATATAGCCCAGTAAGCAGAATAAATGATGATAGTTCAGAGATGCAACCAAATCATGGAAACTAGTACTAACACCTGGACAACTCTTGAGCTTGTTTAGTACCACAGATACCATCTTTTTTTTTTGTGAAACCCACAGATACCATATTTCAACACACATAAAGCTATAATAAATAAATAGTTACAATTAAATGTAAATCTAAAGTAAATTTTGTGTATTTATCTGTCAAAATAAGTGCTTAAGAGAACAAGGAGGTGATAAAGAAATCTCACGTTTCAGAAAGGCATCAAATAAGTTGCCAGTGATGCCTTCAATGGTGTCATCAATTGGAAGTGTGTGCACACGCTTCCCGTATTTGACATCTGGGCATTGATGAACAGATACCACGTCTCCAAGCCGCACCCTCAAGTTCGTCCTGACAACCTTGTTCATCCGGACCTTTGGCTCCTCACATGTGTCATCTGCAAGCACAATGCAGATAGTGTCCTTTCTCTTCTTACCCTGCAATGAAGTTACCCAGAACATCAGCAGACAAGAATCAAGTGGTAGTGACCACATATTATCTCATACCAGTCTCAAATTCAAAGTATAGGGGAAATTAAAGAGCATCATCCATAATGTGCAAGTAATGTAGCTATAACAAGCAATTCCATTAACCTCACAGCATCATCATAGAAAAAGCCTGCCTCATTATGCAGTACATGTACAGCAGCATGGTAACAGAACCAAAATAATTTATGTTACAGGTTCAAAACTTAAAATTTCCGAACAATGGAAACTACAAACAATGTAACATGTCCAAAAGTACAGTGGCATACCTAGCTGCATATAGATTGGTTAGGATAAAAGCACAGATTTATGCGCTACCACACAATTTAACTTGGTCATGAGGAAAGCACAGATTTATGCACTATCACACAATTACAGCCCTACAGGGTCGGGAACCCTACCATGTTAAATTCTCACAACAGCTATGAACACAGGACTAAAACAAACCAGGAACAGACTATTACCAAAGCCATGTACTGCGATTCTCATCAGTCATCACAAATCTACCCTTCAACCAATATAGAAAACTACAACACGGTCAAACTTTCAAAACGTAACCGACTAATAATATTAAATATCTCACCAAGCATTTAGTTTCCCCAAATCTATGACTAAGATTACACAATAACAGCGACAAAGGTCACAGCTTTCACAACGGAGTTGTAATCCACACAGTAAACAATCGCCACAACCAAGACCCCGTAATAATCTTATCGAAACATAAGAGTTGGCGAGGTAAAAAGCTCATCCGTACCTTGAGCAGGACAGTGTCGCCGCGGAAGAGCTGGAGCCTCTCCATGGTGTCCGGGTGCAGAGCGACGACGGAGTTGTCATCATTGGTGGCCTCGTCGACCACCAGCCGGTTCGGCGATTTCTTCCTCTCGAGGATCGCCGTCGAGTAATCCTTCTTCCCCTTCCTGCTCCACACCCCACCACAGTGTCAATCAAAAAAATTCACCAATAAAATCCCCCCAAAACCCTCTTCTCGCACCACCAACAACAGATCTAAGCCCTAGGCGCGAGCGGCCAGATCAGAGCGGGTACTCACGGATCCGAGGAAGACGGCTCGCCTTGGCTCGCCATGGCGGTCGAATTCGAGTTGGCGGTTGGTGTTGTTCGCAAGACGGGCGAGACGGCGACAGATATTTGCGGGGTGTTCGTTCGGGTTCGGGGGCCGAAGTGAAGATGAAGAGGAGGGGGGGATAGGCTCGCCTTTATAGCTTCTTTCTTGGAGCAGGGGTTCGGGACTTCTCTATGTGTCGGGCTCGGTTTCTCTATGACGTGCGGGGTCCGAGCGTCCGTGGTCCCACGTGACAGTGGAATTCGGGTTAGAGCCTTCCGAGAGGGGAGGTCGGGCCCGTGGGCCGTGGCTGACTTGGAGACTGCGGTCCATGGATTTATGGGGCGGACGGGCCCACATGGCAGTTTCTGGAGGATGTGTTGTTGTTCGTTGATGGTCGATGGAGCAGCGATATTGGGCTGTTTACCTTCGTTGGTAAGTTTGGTATATCTTGGTGATCCTACCTACTACTGAAAGAAACCCTGTGATGTAAAGCAACAGACTTTACATAGATGCAGGAGCAGTAGTGTTAGATCCGATGCACATGGTCACATGCAGCTTCAGCAAAATTTGTAGACATTCGTGAATTGTAATGCCAAGTTCCTGTTTTCGTAATCAGGTTAGGGCAGACCACGTCGAAGTGTCGAACGTCGAAAAATAAAGAATGACAAGCACGCATGTATTCTGTCAGTTTACATGAACTTTAAGTATCTTTTAACATGCAAAACTTGCGCAGCTACTTTGTTGTTAGATTAGAATGCCCTAGAAAAAGGTAAAGGAAAAGAAAAACAATTCGTCATCAGTGACCAATAGTTGCGACATCAGAGGATATTCAATACCCGAAGGTTTTCCACAATTATAACAGAATGAAAAAAAAACTCTTTACATGAGAGGTCTTCCATACAGTACCCATATATATGGGCTGGCATGCATTACATGGTACAAGCTTGTATTTTTGTCACTCTTGAATACACACAAGTGCTTTGTCACGATGCCGTTGGCCTAGGCAACCTCTTTGCAATTTCCTGGTACAGGAACACGGTCATGTTAGGAGGATGATCACCACAGATGCAAACTGGTAACTGTATGGCTACAGATTCAAACTTGAAACTGAAAATTTGACATAAGCGAATAATACATGGCTGGTAAAAACAGATGTGGTATTATGTTTAGGGATCACAAATGAATCCGCATTTATATCATAGTGATATACCCAAGTGTCGACGGCTAGCATAATGGTTTCCATGTCCATGGGCTGCTTAGCCCTGTTCGGTTTAGCTTAGAACCCAGGGGAGTGGGAGGGGTTGAGGGGTATTATAAATCCCAAGTCAAAATCTTCCTCAATCCCCTCCAATCCCCCTCAATCCCCATGGTTTAGATGGTTTAGGGATGAAACGAACAAGGCCTAGTGAAGTTTCTCAGGCTGTGCAGATGGCCTAGTCCTGCATGATGGGTGCATTTTTTGTGCCATCGCCCTCCATGTGGTGGCCACAGATCTTGGACCCGGCTGATGGTGTGTGCCATGAAGGCGTTAAAAAGAAGCTGCAGTGGGTGTGTGATTTATTCTACAAGCCGAATGCAGCCAGGCTCATCTGGGACTTCATCCAGAGCTGATGTCTGCCGGAGGACGGGAGGAGCAAGACAGGGCATCTCCACCTGGTCGGACTGCTCCAGCCCCTTGCCACGCCCAGCTTGGTGTGGGCTGACATAGCCATGGACTTTATCAAGGGCTTATCAGTGGTCATCACGATGGTAGACCGCTTCTACAAGTATGCACATTTTCTTCGCTCAGCTGCCCCTACACTACGGTCTCCATCGCGCAGGTCTTCTTCGACAACATAGTGTGGCTACAGGGGTTGCCGTGCTCCATTGTCGGTGACTGTGACCCTGCCTCTGGACAGAGTTGTTCAACCTCATGGGTGTCAAGTTTTGAATCAGCACTGCTTTTCACCCCCCAAACCGATGGCCAACCAGACGTTACATATCGCACATTGGGCATGTACCTGCGTTGCCTTGCTGGTGACCATCCTCAGAGTTGGCTTCAATGGCTTCCTAGGGCACAATATTGCTACCACACATCACTCCGAACGGCGCTGAAGACTACCCATTTAATGTGGTTTATGGTCAAGACCCACCTAAATTGATCTCTTATGATCCAGGACTTGTTTAAGTGCCGTCCTTGGGACAAGCAGTTTTGAGCTCGTGGCATGTTTTTGGTCAAATCCATGACCATCTTGCCCATGCTCAAGAGCTGATGAAGTGCCAATATGACAAGGGCCACTGTGATGTGGAGTTTGCAGTTTGTGATTGGGTGTGGTTCCTTTTGCATCAGCGCATAGCCACAGTCATTACAGACAAATCACCTGCTAAGTTGGCATCTAACTTTTATGGCCCCTCTCGTGTGGAGGAGCATGTCAGGTCTAAGGCATATCACCTCGCTTTGCCACCAAAGGCTCTTATTCATAATGTGTATCATGTGGTCTTTCTTAAGAAATACATTGGTGATCCTCCTCAGGAACACGTGCAGCTTCCTCCCATCAAGCGTGGCCAAGTACTGCCAGTCCCTGCCAAGGTTCTTTGTGCTCGCCTCAACCGTGGCACATGGGAAGTTTCAGTTAAGTGGTTGGTCCAAGTCAAGCTGAGACTACTTGGGAGGACTTGGAAGAATTCAAGGGGCAAATACCCAAACTTTTAGCTCGGGGACAAACTATTTCCAGAGGAGGGAGGATGTGTTGTGCCAGTTGTGGGCGCTTTCCTTGGAAGACAATACCAGAGGCGTTAGAAGAAGGCAGGCAAGTAGAAAACAAGGTTAGAGATAGAGTCGGATTTGAAATTGCTAGGGAATGTCTTGTTGATTAAGTTAGCTAAAGTATAGGAGGTTTGTAAGCTTAAACGGATTGTCATTCGGCCAATTTGGGAGATCAAGCAAGATTAAACCTAAATAACTCAGAGCCTCCAAGGGAGGGTGAGTTTGTTTATCCTTGCCTACCCATTCTCATCTACTACGCACAGAAAACTGAGAAATTCAAGGCGCCAATGCTTTGTTTGCTCAGCCTCATCTTTTTTAAAGTAGAATAACATTAACAGTTGCAGCTAGATTTTCTTATCCTCTTGCATGTTATGTAAAACAAATATTTTATGTACTCAAAGCGTACCTCAAACAGTTGGTTTATATTATCAGCTGTCTTGGCTGACGTCTCAATGAAAAACATATTGTTCTTCTCTGCGTAGTCCTGTGCATCCTGCAACAAGTACACCATATGGTAAAAATCACATAGCAGTCATTAATACAATACCTATCAGTTGGCAATGAGCATATACTCTTACCTGCAAGGATACACTTCGATTATCATGTAGGTCAGCCTTATTCCCAACCAAAACCATTACAATACCAGGACTACCATGCTTCTGAAGTTCCTGCAGAATGGGAAAGAAAAAAAGGAGTGCTGTATTTAATCCTGAAACCAAAAATAGGGTACAAACCATAATAGAATTTCAGACCACTAAGATTGAATATAATCAACAGGTCAACTGCTAAATTGTGTTTTAGGTACCATATCACATCAGTGTTTCAAGCAGAAGCACAGACCGGTAATAGGGAATGGGGAGAAAACCAAGCATAATAACACAGAAGAGTAGAGGGTTGCTGGTAGTTTACCTTTACCCAATACTGTGCTTTGCTAAATGATTCCGGACTCGTTATATCGTAGACAACAATTGCAGCAGCAGCTCCTCTGTAGTAAAGTGGTGCCAAGGCAGCATACCTGAAATTGACGGGCTGTCAATTCTCATGACTTCTTGATTTGGGCAAAAACATGCATGTGCTTGCAAAGAAAGATGGATCAAATGTGCATAGAATACGTGCTGAAAAGTATCCCAAATTAGTTATCTAAAATAAGTACTGGCTTACAACACCAAATTACCTCTCTTGCCCAGCAGTATCCCAAATTTCAAACTTCACTATTGTTGAATCTTCCAATGCCAATGTTTGTGATAAAAAAGATGCACCAACAGTTACCTGTAACCATTTGAGAAGATAAGTTGGGGAATGGAAATGCTGCAACTGAAAGTAAAGTTTCATTCATGGCTCGATCTGATCAAAACAGGAAATCACCTTGGAAGTAGGATCAAACTGACCACGAACAAAGCGAAGAACTATACAGCTTTTCCCAACACCTGAGTCTCCCAGCAATACCAGCTATTACAGGAAAAGGAAAAGGTTGAAAACATTAAACAAAGTCGTTAATCAGGTTTTACTAGATAAATCACAGTGTGTTGATACGCTTGGTAGGGCCACTGATGCAATGAATGCATTAACTTCTATACCAAAAGTGTTCAATTATCCATATATACACTACACTTATGTCCCTGCTTCTACTCCTAAGCTAGAAATAAAGCATAGTAACAAAAAAGAAACACAACCTCAAATTTTAATAGCCACTATAACAAGCAATATATTTTGTGGGGTAGTTGAAATTTTGATTCCTTGGAAATTGTAAAAACCAATACAGCACATAAGGCAGTGTGTTTGGCATATGCTCATGTGAAGAACATACAAAAAGGTTGAATGAGGCACAATGCTTGCATGAGGCACCTTGTGCAAAAAAAAACATCCACCATGAAAACAAAAAAAAGCTGAGTATGTACATATACCGCTTATGGTAGTTAAAATGATGCCCTAACATATTAAGTATACTGAATTCTACATCACAGTCATTGTTAATGAGCAGAAACAGACAAATGACAACCTGCTGAGTATATTAGGTATTGCAATATGCAGATTCACTGGGTAAGATCCCAAAAACCCATGGCAGGGATGAAATGTTAAGCAATTGAATGATATACAGCATCATAGTATCTGAGCATTAAGAGCATACTAGACAAGTTTCAGTACATACACGACGCTTTTATGTGCTTTTAAGCATTTAAAAAATTTTGCGTTCATGACTGCTTTCAAAATTCTTCGCTAGAGCATCTAGGGAAGGTGAGCCTAAATATACAGTTGACATGCTGGTACCACAACCAATGCTAAGCCAAGAGAAGCAACCAAAAGAAGCGAAAGAAAATATGAAATCAACCACCAAAATAACAAAAGGTAAAGAGGGTGGAGTTTGGCTAACCTTAGCTCGCAAGTCCTTTGAATCAGTGGCAGGAGAGTTATCATTGCTGATAGTGTTCAGCCCTCCAGTACTTCTAGCTGAAAATGGGGAAAAACATACTGCGTTAGCTTTATATACCTAGACATTAACTAATTTGACTATCTTCTGCTCGAACTGTATGATCACCAACCACATATCACATTTTCCTACACCTTGTCGTCACATTAAATCCCCAAATTAACTAAAGAAACAACTAAATCCACCACCACAGGCTTTGTGAACACGGTCTTTCTTTTTGGCGGCGATGAGCACGCAACCGCCACTGCCAATCAATCCAATCCAATTAATCTACAAAGCACAGCCCAAAACCCTAAAAACACACCGCGAACTGAGCAAATTCGCGGCTTAAACCACTACACATCAAACCCGCACCAGAACCCGTGCTAAACTTTTAATCTGTCATCTCCGGCCACTAATTGAAGACAAAATACAACGATCCTACACCTGAACCTTCGAATTTTTAATACTCGAGAAAGGAGGTGCAAACCTGGCACGGAGGAGGAGCAACCCATAGCTCACGATGCCCGCCGGCGTCGACGGGGCTAGCGCACCGTGGCACAAGCGCGGCAACCGGCGGGAGGGGGATCGGGCCTTTGCCCTGCCTCCGGCTCCGGGTAGGTCCGCCGCAGTTTTGTCCTTTCTCGTCGGTGGTCTGGACTCTGATGAATCTCGCTGTCGTTGCGATGCACGCGCGACGCGTTGCTGGCTTGCTGCTGCTCGGGGTCGGGGAAAGCCAGGTCGTTGGGGCGACGGGGCGTTGGGCACTCGGGCGTCATGGGTCGGCTTGTCAGTGGACGATCTGAGAGAGGTGCAAAGTTTACCCACAGTGTTTGGGCCGGGCTGTATTGCTAGAATGGGCCTCATGCATTCTGGCGTGATTAGGCCTTTTTGTGATAGTGATGCGCAAGTTGTTTTCCTTTTCTGGAACTATTTTTTCTTCTTTTTTTCCTATAAAAACCGTGTATGATAGATAGATCACTTAACGTAAATACGAGTACCTGTGTAGATTTGGATACCTTAACTTGAGTGGATAGGTAAACAACCTAACTAATCTATGCTACAAATGATATTTTTCTTAATCAGAATTTGTGAAAAAGAAATATCATAACTGAAGAATCCATAGATCGATAGGAAACACAAGAGGTTCACTGTTCTGCGATTTTAGTTGGAACCGAAAGATGAAGAATCAAGATAAGTACGACATCGATGTTTTTGAACTGCTAGACATTTCTCATGTTCTTTGCAACTTGCTACCGGGTGTTCGGGAGGAAATTCTCCTGCACATTCTTTCATATTTGCTTGTTTTCTTTTTCTCTGTTTGAGTGAAGATGCAAATGCAGCGCAAGCTCTGCAACAGGGCAGCACTCCTTTTCCCTTTTGGTCTCTGCGACTGCTGCGCGAAACTGCCTGCAAACTTGATGAAACTTCACTGACCTGGCGAAACTTTCATCTGGATGTACGCATTCGTCTCCATGCCCTCCATTCATTGCTACCCTCGTAGTGGAACTGAACTGAACAAGGCGGCCGTGCAAGCAACTAACCGTACATGTGCGCAAAGCAGCGGAGGTCGATTGCAAAGTTGACCTGCAGGCTGCAGCAGCGCCCCTCCGGCTGTAAAGGCAAAGCGGCTGCATTGTCCGTTGTGTGCTCGTGCAGGAATGTTTCTTCTCTTTCGCTTTCCTTCCAGTGCAGCCAGCCTCGTCTGCCCCCTGCCCTGCGCTGCATTCGGCATGCCTGATGCGTCTGAGGAAATACTCCGTAGAGGACAAGCAAAAGCTGCTCTGAATTTGGGAGCAAGGATGTGACATGCCAAGAGCCCAAAGGGAGGTGGTGGTCCATGCAGGCATGCAGCACAGAGCACACTTTCTCCTTTGCCTTTCCTAAAGGGGCTCCATTTTTACTTTGTTTCAAGAAAAGGAGGGGTAGGTTATTTTATAGGTAGACTTCTTTTCCCCAATCCTGAACTGTTGGGTTCTGAAATCCAGAACTAGAGTCTAGAGTCCAACTGATGATCATGCATCCATGCTTGGTGCTGTACTGTACCTCACTGCTATAGAGTCAAATTAGTAAGATCAGGTTAAAGGTGTTACTGCTAAGAAGTCAAGTTGTTGGTTTCGTGCAAGATTTTGCTGTTCTACACGTATCTAAGGTCTTTGTAGAATTGTAGTTGGTGGTGGTGCCCTCATCAGTGAAACGGATGGTTGGAAATCTCTGGTTCTAGACAGCTATGGCTCTGAGTCTGAACATGCAGGTATCAGTTTGTAGTCTTGCTTAGATATTCTATAGTGTTTCTTTGTGAAACTGTTCGTGAAGACCTTGTGCAAAACTTTGAGCCCACTCCTGAAATACAGTAGGATGCTGAGCTCGACAGTATTGGTTTCTTCCATCAAAGGTCTTGTTTAGATCACCTCCAAATTCCAAGTTTTTTCATTCTCTCTCCATCACATCAATTTTTAGACGCATGCATGGAGCATTAAATGTAGGTAAAAAAAATAACTAATTGCACAGTTTGGTTGTAAATCACGAGACGAATCTTTTGAGCCTAGTTAGTCCATAATCAGACAAAGTTTGTCAAATACAAACGAAACGTGCTACAGTGTCCGGATTGCAAAAATTTGCAATCTAAACCAGGCCAAAGTCAGAATTCAGAAATGTACTGGTTCAGACCTGATAGCCACTGGTTGACACAGAACGGTCTGCTTCGTGCAACTCGATTGGATGTTTCGTCAAAGTTGCCGGACGAGTCAAGCCACATTGCAACTGCAAAAACCAAGGACAGGAAAGAAAATACAGCTACGTCTATCTGGTAAAGCACCAAACTGATATTTTTACCAAGCTATCTATATTGTATTTGGTAGAGAGACAATGATGTAGTACGGGGTAAGGTGGTTGTTTCACTTGCAAGTTACCAGCTCCAATTACCAGGTCACCTAAAAGTTTAGTCGTTGAAGTCACTAGAACCAGAAGCTAGCATAGCATGAGATGTGGCCACTCAAGTCACCACCAAACCAGGCCTTGCGGGACACTGCTGTCCAGTCCTGCACCAGAATGGAAGGAGCTGTCCCAGAGGCCAGAGTAGGGGTAGCACTTGGCAGAGCATGAGAGCAGCGGCCATCATCATACGCAAATTGTCCAATGCCAATGGCTGCAGCCTGCAGCCATCTAGGAGTCAGGGAAATGGCTACGAGCAAGAGGACAGGCGTGAGGTGGCAAAGCAAAGGATTAAAGGACCCCAAGCATGTGGTTAAGGACCCACCCCAAAAGGCAGGAACAGTCTTGTTCGTTTGCTTCATGTCTTTTGATAGATAGATTCCCTTGTGATCCCATTTTCTTTTTCTTTTTACCATAACAGGTACTACGTAAGTTAAAAAAAAAGGATGCCATATCATATAAAGAGAGAAAAAAAGAGCAAAGCTGAGAGGCGAAAGATAAATAAGAGGAAAAATTCAGAATAAAGACGAAAAGGGCAAAAGGTCAGCACAAAGCTTTGGCTTTTCGTTTAGGCGGGAGTTTACATGGACCAAGTCCTGTTGCAATGTCCGGTCATAGCATTTTTTAGCGAGCTCTACAGCCGTCCAATCCGATTATATATATATAATTTTACCGCATTCTTTTCTGTCTCGTGCAAACAAATGTCTAAACAAGCAATTTTACCTGAAAACTATACAATCCGATCGAATCAAATTCAGCGCGTACGGTACGGATCAAGGTCGGTCGATGTTTCGATTTCCTCTCAAGATTATCCAGCGTTTTGTTTTTTCTTTTGGAACAGTTCGACAGTACATACAATACAAATTCGAACTTTCAACAAAAAAGATACAGTTGCATTTCTTTGTGTGGAACAGTATGCAACTCTTTTGTGAACAGAAGAAACTACTCTGTCCAACAGCATGGTTGTTACTTTGATTCTATCCAAATCCCATGTGTGACTCGGACGCTCTGACCTACCAGCGCCCGTGATTCTATCCAAATCCCATGTCTGGCTTGAGCCTGCAGCACACAGGATCTGAACGAGATGGAGACGCTATCCTCCTCACCGTCACGGGGCTCGGCGTTGGCGAGCACATAAACATCATTTTGTGTGTAAGGGCGTGTTTGATGGAGCTTCTAAATTTTAGTCGCTGTCACATCAAATATTTGACATATGTATGGAGTATTAAATATAGACTAATTATAAAATTAATTACATAGTTTGCGACTAATTTTCGAGACGAATCTTTTAAGTCTAATTAGTCCATGTTTTGACAATGTGATGCTACAGTAAATATGTGCTAATGACGGATTAATTAGGCTTAAAAAATCGTCTCGTGGAGTACTGATGAATTATATAATTTGTTTTTTTATTAGTATCCGAACACCCCATACAATATCCTCCCAACACACATCCTAACTTTTAGTCATCGGATCCAAACACCACCTAATTATAGTTCCAAAAGCAGTCTAGAACCCAACGACCAAAATGCAGTGCAGTCAAAATGATTTCCGGAGGGCTTCTTCCTGGTTTCCTAAACCACGAGACCCGGGAAACAACAAAGCCATTTCCCGTTGGCACGTCCCAAGGCCAAACGAAACTTACAACACCGAGTCGTCAGATAATTATAAACGAGGTTTTGGTTTGCTGAAACTTGGCTGAATTAGCTGAAAATACTGTTCTGGCTGAATTGTTGTTCGAGAAAAACACGGTTCCGGTGAAAAAATAAGCTAAATAATGCGAATTATAAGGTAAGCTGAACAGGGCCTGTGAGCACGCCGACAAAGGACACGTGGCCAGTTGCTGCTCGAACGGGATTAGGTCGATCACGCAGCACTTCCAGAAGAGATCCCAGTGACTTGTTATAACATATAGGGGTAGCAAATTGAATATTCTTTTGAAGCATACAAAGGCCATACTGCTGACACGGTGCTTATGCAAACATCATAAAAAAAGTTTTCTTAGCTTATTATACAAGCTACAGTGGGAATATTCCTGGTCAAACGTACCATGCCCGAGGACAAAAAAATAATAGCAGGCGAGGCGATGACGAGTTTCTGGTACTGTTGATGCGTGTGTTCTTTCCTGCATTTGGCACCGTCTCGACGATGCATCAGCAGCAGCATGATGCTTAGTAGATTATTGAAAGGCCACAATGATTATTGATTATACAATATAGCCGGACAATTGCGAATGGATAGGGCGCGTGGTTGACATGCCGGATCAGCTCCATTGGCTATACGCCTATACGCAACAAACTTTGTGTTGGAAAATGCTTTGCTGAAGGTCTGCAAGCTGACGCCAACCGCATTTTTTTAATAAAAAAGGCTAATTGGTTGTCAATATAATCAGAGCTGAGCGACACTCCAAGCAACGGGCGGAACTGGAACCTGGAACTCTGTTCATCGATCAGAAAATCAAAGTGACAAACCTGTTTTCTCGTCAGAAAAGCAAAACAGAGGACCGTGGTAGTCCGGACATGGGATTCGGAATTTGATCAGATTACCTTCAATTTTCCTTTCTGAATCAGACAGTCTCAATCTGAATGCGCACCTACAATCAGCCTGACCCAGAGAAATTGTCCCAAGGAGAGAAACCATGACCATCCCTTCCCCTGGCGTGACGTCACGACGTGCCGCTCTAATCTAATCCTGGGACTGTGATAATAACCATTTCAACGTCCACGCCTAAAAGCCCTGGTTGCAGTCCAGTAGTCCACGCAATCGCAGGCTAGCTAATAAGAAATAAAACGTTTGTTTGTTTATCCCTGATCGACCGTCGCGGTCGACGAACACGCGACGGGCGAATAGGAATATGCAAGACCCTGCCGTGTTCGCTGGGATGATGGTTGGTGGTGGTCGTGCCCAGGGGCATGAAAAATGCGTGCGAAAAGCGCACGCAATTGGAACTGGAAGCCCCGTTTCCCGTCGGGATAACGCCTTGGAAGCACTGTGACATCAGAAATTGTGATCCCGTCGTCCAAGCTACCGACACGATTCGTCGGTTCAAGCACGGTCAAAACCAGTTTATCACTGGCCTTCTCGTCGAGCCTGTTCGTTTGGCTGATTCGTTTATGTGAGAGAGAAGTATTACTGGCTACTTCAGATAAACATTATTTTTTTGAGGGGGCTGGCCAGCCCTGCCCCAGCCAGCCCAGCGAACACGCTGGTCGTAGTAGTACATACAGTTTTTTTTTTTTTTTTTTTTCCAGATCGAAGGCAGGTCTCAAAACGCAGTGGTACTGGTAGTAGTAGTACCGAACCGCGAGGTCTTCCATACCGAATATTTGAGAAGATGAAGACTTCAAAAAGGCTCTGTGAAATTGTGATTCACCGCGTGGTAAAAAGAAAATCTTCCTTCCTTGCTCGGTCCCCAAACGTCAAAAGAAATGTGAACCAGCAGGCCTTGGAATGTCTTTATCAGCACCGAGATTTTAATTACTGCCTGTGATCTAGGAGTACTAGTATCGCTAGATTACCATCCATCATCATCAGAGGAAAAATATCGAAACAATCTGCACCGTAATTGTCCGATGGCCGTCTTTTTCAGCTTATTTGTTCAGTTAAAATAGTATTTTTTTCTTATAATAAATCAGTCGGAACAATATTTCGACCTGTTTTTTCAGCGAAACGAACGGAACCTGATGGCACGGCGAATTTTGTAAGCCGTCTTTATGTCGTTTTCGGTTCCACGTCGGAGTCGAGAGAGACGAGGCCAAATTTGCAGCCACGAAGAATCTGACTCCCTCCCTGGCATTGTAAACGACGCTGATATTTTAAATCAGTGGCGTCTGGAGAATTCATTGTCAACCAAGAACCGCACACATTAATGGATTTTGTTTAATCGTCCAATTAATCGCTGAACCGAATGCCGTAACTTAGATTAGGAAACGGCTAATTCTAAAAAAAGATTAGGAAACGGCTACGACCACAAATGACAAACCAGTCCACGATTCAACGTCGCTGAGCACGCAGTCGCAATTTTCGACCAGTTCATCACTTCATCTCGTCTGATTCAAAATTCCACTACCAGCTCAACCAATGAAGTTGAACAAGTGTTCATCAGAAGACGATAAGAACGAAAGGATTAAACAAATGAAGCAAAATTTCATCAGAAAATTAATCCTAGAGCTCTGGACTAAGGCTGAATCCTCATTGACGACGATATGTACAGGTCGAGTTTTTTTCCCGGCCGGACTGCTAAGGTAAATTAAAGCTGACGACGGATCAGTGAGCTCGCTGACGCAACCAAGGGACACCCACCGGCTGCGGCGGCGTCACATCACGGAGCAGGCGTTGGGGTTCTCGTCGCTGAAGAGCTGCGGCGGCGGCGCCATGTCAAAGCGGTACGGGTACGGCGGGTACGCCATCTGCGGCTGCTGGCTGCCGTCGGGCTGCTGCTGCTGCGGTTGGTGGTAGTAGGAGGGGTTGGCGTGGCCCATGCCGTCGCCATTGCCGTAGTACGGGTAGGAAGGGTAGTAGCTGGCGGGGGGCGGGGCCTGCTGGTACGCCACGTACCCGTACGGCGGCGCCACGTGGTACGTGCTCGCCTCCGCCGGCGCAGCCATGAACGCCGCGGCGGCCGCCGTGGACGGACCCGCCGACACGTCGATCCCCTTGCCCTTGTCTTTCTTATCGTCACCGCCCGCCCCGGCCCCGGCCGCGCCCTTGTTCTTGTCGCCGCCGCTGCCGCTGTCTTTCTTGTCGTCCATGCCCTCGCCGCCGCCGCCGCCGCCTTTCTTGGCAGGCGGCGCAACGGCCTCCACGTCGCGGTTGAGCTTCTCCTTGAGGTAGGTGAGCATGTTGGGGATGTCCATGGTGCCCGTGACCTTCACCTCGTCCTTGGCATTGCCCTCCAGCACCACATCCTTCACGCCTGCACCGACCAAAACCAAAAGCGTCAGTTCTGGAGCCGTGCAGTTCAGTGAAATTATAACAGAAAAACAGGATGCGAATCCTGAGACGATGTGAGAGGGACACACAACAAACCAACAGAATTTTTCTGCTCACCTTTGATCTTGTAGATGCGTCGCCTGATGCGGTCGGCGCAGCCGTCGCAGTGGAGGCGGATCTTGAGCAGCACCGTCTCCTGCGGAGAACCAAAAGCAGAGGCGTTTTTTAGTTGCTGCTGCTGCTGCAGGTCAGAAGAGTTGCTGGGTTGCGTGGGCGGCATTGCCTGCCGCGTACCGACCTGCTTGGGTTTCTTCTCTTCCGCCTGTTGCTTCTTCTCCTTCTCCTTGGCGCTCGCGCCTTTGTCCTCCTTCTTCTCGCCGGTGCCGGCGTCCTGCTTGGGCTCCGCGGCGGCGGGCTTCTTGGGGGCGCCGCCGGCGGAGACGACCTCCACGGGCTTGCTGGTCTTGGCCTCGAGCCGCGCCTTGAGCGCGCCCGCGTCGGCCGTCCCCGCCACGACGACCCTGTTCGCCGCGACGTCCGTCACGATCGACTCGACACCTGCGCGCGACAAGAACCGGCCAATGAGATGAAGAAGCAACGAAATTACAGAACCACGCGCGAACCGAAGGTCGCCGCGGCGAGAGCACGTACCAGGAACGCGCTTAATAGCCTTCTTGACCTTGTGCGCGCAGCCGGCGCAATGCAGGTCCATCTTCAGTACGACGGGCTGCGCGGCCTCGGGCGCCGCCGCGGCCGCCTCACCGCCGCCGTCTCCTCCTTTTCCCGCACCCATGGACCGAGACTGAGACTGGACTGGACTCCGCTCCGGATCGTTTGTCCCTTCTGCTGGTGGATGTGCTTCTTCTTCTCACCGTGATTGTGCACTTGTGCGTGGCTGTTGGTCTGACGAAGAGGATAGGGACCAAAAGACGGCCGCGGGCGGCCATAAATAGGAGGCGGGGCGCAACGCGCGTGGGGAGGGGGAGAAGAAAGGAAAAGGAAGGGAGGGAGGTGGGGCCGCGGGGTCAGCCGGTGCTGATCCGTATCCGCGTCGGACAAAGTGACGCCCCGCCGTTTGCCCCCGGGCCCCGGGGTTGCAGTCTTGGAGAAGGCGTAAGTTTCTGCCATGCTGCTGATGTCTGGTCGCGGCTGGTGGAGGTGGACTTGCCTGTGGAATATGGATGGATGAGTGCCGGTTACGGTCAGCTGTGGCGTCAGCGCGCAGATTTTCTTGTGAAACTTAGCTAAAAAAATACGGTTCCGACTAGCTCGACTCGAATAACAAAAGAAAGAAATTTTTTTTGTAAAGTAAAATTAAGGTCTTTGCTTTTACTTATAGCATTCTTTCTTTTACCTAAAAGAAAGAAAGAACTCAAAATAAAAAATAAGAAAAGTACGATTTTTTTCGAATCCATTCTAACCAACGAACAGTTCTTACCTTAACCTTACCGAAATGGATCATTCTAGATATTTAAAGAATCACAGATCGAGATCGTTTTCGCTTAACCAAAGAAAAGAAGGACGCTTCTTTTTTACTAATAATACAAGAAAACAAATAATACAACAAAAATCTATCTCTATCGTAAATGAGAGAGAAAAATACTATAACAAGTGAAACTAGCTGAATCTGCTCCAACAAGACCAGCGAACAAGGCGAACTGTGCTAGTAGTATGCTGCTGTACTGGAGTAGTACTTATCTACAGTACTCTTCTGGTACCTTCTGGACTGCAGGCTGCTTGTACTACCACGGTGCCGGCGCTGTTGTACCGCACCAGTTTCAAACGGATAGCTATCAAATTTACAGTATTAAATATATTAGTTAAAAAATAATTACATAAATTATGACTAATTTACGAGACGAATCTATTAATCTAAATCAGTGCATGATTTGACAATATGGTACTATAATAAACATTTGTTAATGATGGATTAATTAGGCTTAATAGATTTTTCTCGTGAATTAGCCACGGCTTCTGTAATTAGCTTATTGTCGGCGAGTTGCCACAAACAAGTAAATTTTTAATATTGCGCGTCTGGCTCGGATGGTATGCTAAGAGGACACAAGATTTATACTGGTTCGGACGAAATGTCCCTACGTCCAGTTCGTTGTTGTCGCTTGTGTTAGTAGCACTAAAAGTTCGTAATATGAGTTACAAACGGGTGAGAGAGGGACAGATCACAAGTCTCTGATGGAAAGGATGAACGGGTGCTAAGAGCTCGGTCGCAGCTTGATTGTATGTTCGGGGTTCGATGAGTTGATCGGATTCGAGTCTCTTGTGCTATGTTGTTATGCGTTGATTTGATCGATCATCCGATGCCCCCTAATGGGACGTCCTGCTTTCCCTTTTATAAGCCAAGAAAAAACAGGGGTTCCGATGGAGGGGAAAGAGGAGAATCAGAAGGGGAAGAAATCCCCCAGGATCATTGGTTCCTTTTTCTCTTATATGCGGGTCCCGCCGACCCTGTAGACATCAACAGGGATAGCTTCACATCGCGGCCCTGTCCGTCACTAGCGTCATGTGCAGGCGTCGACTGCCGGTCATGGCGCCCCACTCCGTCCCGGCGGACATCGTGGTGAATTGATGCGCCCGTCAGTGTTCGTACGGGGGTTAGGCAGAACAACACCGGTACGCCCGATGTTGTTCCTGTTGTGAACCCTCAGGTATGGCCCGTTATGGTCGCGGGTTACATCGAGGCGTGCCAGTCTCTTCCTTGACGTCAGAGCTTTGACCCAGGCCCATACGCTTGGACCTAGAGTAGTTGACGGCGGTATGGGTCTCCGTCGGGCGAGACGGAGCCCCCGGCCTCGGGGTCAGGCAAGGCGGAGTTTCTCCCCAGAGGCTGGGCGATGCAGAGCGCAAACCCAAAGGTCGAGCGAGGCGGAGCCAGCCCTCAGGGGTTGGGCGAGGCGGAGCCCGTGGCCTCAGCGTCGAGCGAGGCGGAGCCCGTGGCCTCGGCGCCGGGCTAGACGGAGCCCGCCCCCAGAGGTCGGGCGAGGCGGAGCCAACCCTCAGGGGTCGGGCGAGGTGGAGTCCTCCCTCAAGGGTCGGGCGAGGCAGAGCCCACGGCCTCTGTGTCAGGGGAGACGGAGCTCGCCCCTAGAGGTCGGGCGAGGCGGAGCCAACCCTTAGGGGTCGGGCGAGGCGGAGTCCGCCCTCAGGGGTCGGGCGAGATGGAGCCCGCGGCCACGATATCGGGCGAGGCGGAGCCCACGGCCTCGGTGTCGGGCGAGGCGTAGCCAACCCCTAGAGGTCGGGCGAGGCGAAGCCCGCGGCCTCGGTGTCTAGCAAGGCGGAGCCAACTCCCAGAGGTCGGGCGAGGCGGAGCTTGCATACCTAGAGGTCAACAAGAGTTGTAGTCGCGCACTTGATCACTCGGATGAATCAACGTTGATAGTTATTAGCTCCTTCTCTTCGGGTACCCTAATATTGGTCCCCGATAGTAGCCCCTAAGCCTACGGAGGAGTAGAATACTCCTTTAGAGGTTTTTTCGAATCGGGAGGACTCAGATGGCCTTGGCCATCTTTTGTTGCCCACGGCATGTCCCGGGGACGGTGATTCCCTCTCATCGAGGTCGGACCCTTCGCGGGTTTGGCCGTGAGATTTGGTGGGTTGGAAAAGGTCGTTCCTGATATTCGACCCCCGCGGGGGTTCATCGTTCTGTGACCGTGCATCCGGTCTCCTTACGAGTCCAATCTTTCCTTGAGCCCCACGCGCAGTGAGGGTCCGGTCGAAGGTCGGCTCGCCTTTGTGATCATCACCCCGTCCATAGTTTCCACAACTAGAGGGGTAAGCCACGCCATAATTTTCATCTATGGACAAGCCGTGGTGCTCGGTGAGTTGTTAGCTAGCTAGTTCGAGTGGGGTCTCGACATCCTGTTCGCGGGGATCCGGCTAGGGTTAGCTTGGTGACCGACTTTAGATTCTCAGTGGTCAATCCATATAGTTCTCGGGTCCGTTCGATCAGTCCCGATGGCTCTCTACCTTTCTTCAAGGAAAAACCATGGATCGTACCCGGTCAAGACTCGATCGTGGGCCAGGATGCCCGTGGCGCTCGTGCGCCTGGGTACTGGCCACTTGTGGGCCCATCCTTATCCATCCCTTACTCTAAGGGTGTTCTGAGCGGTTGTCGAACCTGTCGATGGGCCAACCTTCGAACTCCTAGGCCCAGGCGGGCCATAGAGGTGTTTTTTGATCCGTTTTCCTCTTACTTGTGACGAGTCGTGGCCTGTCCAGAGAGGCGAAACATCTGGTGAGTTTTCTGAGGGAACAAATAGAGATTGCATGCGCACTTCCCGTGGAGAGACGTTGTGGCAGATCATGGCAGGCGCAGAGATCTAGGCGGGCGGTTGGTTTCCTCGCACCCATCGCCCCTATAAAACCAAAGGGTTCGCCCCCCGGGTTCCATATCTTAGATCCTTGCCTTCGTAGCCATGACCGCCGCCACCAATTGCCTAGGGTTCCCTGTCTCCGCATCTCCACCGCCGTCGAGCCCGCATCCAACCGTCCCCACCTCTAATGGATCCGTGGTGCCGTTCTAACATCACCTTCTAGCGCATGGAGGGCCTCATTTGGCGCGGTCTTCTCCGAGCATGGACCTCGGCCGCGGACTAGCTGCTGCCCGGTGAGGAGGATCCACCATCGCCGCCTGACGACTACATAGTGTCGTTCGCCCACTTCCATGAGCGTGGGTCCACGACCCTTGCCCATAGATTTCTCCGGGGGCTGCTGCACTACTACAAGATCGAGTTGCAGCATCTCAACCCCAACGGGATCCAGCGCATGGCGGCGTTCATCACCCTATGTGAGGGATTCCTAGGGATCAGCCCCCACTTCGATCTGTGGAGGTACTTCTTCGCCATCACCCTCCAAAAGAAGAGGGAGAAGAGCTGCAGGCAAGAGTTGCATATGCCGATGGGGTGCGCCGGCATCCAGCTCTGGAACAATCAGGTCAGCGAGTACCCGCCCATGTGGCTCTCAATGTCCAACAAGGGGTGGCACTCACAGTGGTTCTACCTCAAGAACAACACCGTCGCCCCTCTACTGGAGTTCACCGACCGCCTGATCGAAGAGGCCCCAGAGTCATGGAGGAAGTGGGGTGTCCCAGAGAAGGACAAGAAGAAGATCTAGGACCACATCACCGCCATCCACATCCTAAAGGAGAGCGGCCTAAATGGGTCGAGCATCATCGGGGCCTACCACGTAAGGAAGGTGGCGTCGTTGATGACACATGTGCTCCCGCTGTACGCGATGGTGCCCGAGACGTCGCTCAATGGAACGGCGCTCGCCGAGGGGGTGCTCCCCAACTCCGAGATCGTGCAACGCATTAAGGAGGCAATGGAGCCTTCATAGGACGACACATGTCGCCCCTCGATTTCATTTACCCGGTGCTGGGGCATCCTTCGATGCGGCTGGAACCAGGCCATGTCGTCTTTGTAAGTTTCTCCTCCTCATACCTCCTCTTCAATTGATTTCCTGACCTCTTGATACTAACTTTGAGAGGGACATAACCAGCCGAGGGATCTCATCTTCATGGATCAGTCGACGCTGTTGCTGAGGGATTCGTCCATGAGGGCGGTGAATCACGCCAAGGGCGAGCGGCTGAGGAAGGCGAAGGAGGACAAGAGGAAGAAGAAGAAGCGGGAGCTATAGGCGCGGGAGCGAGGAGAGGGCACCGACAGCGATGACGATGACGATGATGATGGCAACGATGATGAGGTAGCCGACGTTGTCGAGTGGGACATTCTGGAGAACGAGGATGCGCTGACAGGTATCGATTCATCCTTACAGGAG